GTTAATGAACTGCTCCAAATGTAAACAACTTGGTCATGCATCGGACTACTGCTCGAACAAACCACGCTGCGATCAGTGTGGCAAGCAGCATCAAGAGGGCCCTTGCGGTGCTCCTCCAAAATGCGTGTACTGCAAGGAGAGTCTGTATACCCTGACTGACTGCCCGAGGTATAAACAACAGGGAGACAAAATTGAGCGGTCTCTGCAAGCTCGCTCCAGGAGAACAATTGCAGAACTCTTGAAGAATACCGCTTCATCTTCTCAGACCACACCAAAAAGCAGTAACACGTTCTCCATTTTGCCAGTTGATGATCTCTCTTCAGACAACGATCTTGCTTTCCACGATCTAAAACAGAATCGATCTGCCTTCGATGACAGGCATTGAAGTTGTTGCATGTCAGGTATTTGCCTCAGTATTGCCTCAGTATATCTTCCACCGAGAACTGCGATTTCTCGTCAAAGTTACTTGGATATATGCTCGGTTAAGCGGGGCCACGGTTGATCTTGGGAGATTTTAACTCTCACGGTACAGGCTGGGGGGATCGCGACAACTGCTCAGTCTTGAAATACGACATGTGCGACTTCTTCAAAATGACAACTCTGAACACCAGGGAAGCAACACGAGTAGCCAAACCTCCAGCAAAGTAAGCAGATTAGACCTCTCACTTTGTTCGAGTCACTATCTTTGGATTGCTCGTGGAAAGTAATCCAAGATCGCTACGGTAGTGATCATTTGAGAGGAGATTTTCACGACAATTATGGTTAACCACCCCATTTCCGGCCTACTAAGCACAACCCGCACTTCAAGAGCAAATTTTCATTATGTCCTAAGTAACATTCGCACCAATCCGAGAAAAATAAAGTTTTGTTTTGATGACCGAAAAGTTGTTCCTATTTCCAATTAAACACATATAATCTCATAGTGATAGCAATGTTTAACATATTTAGCAGAATTTTAATCATACAAATGTAAATCGCTAGCTTTCATGCTAAAAAATACTGGTTTTTGTGTCAAAAGTTATTATACGTCGTTTGGTGGCCCCTATTGTTACTTAAGTCAAAGTGTTATTTACCAGGATATTCGGGAGAATTATCAATTACGTCTCCTTACGTGCAGCCCATTCATCATTTTAGGACCACCGAAATCATCTTAGCAACAAACAGTTCGATTTATTCACTTTAATAATGAGAAAGCGAAACGACGAACGTACACTTTTCACGGGTTTCTCAGCGCTGTTACTTAAGGCAAATGGTCTTGTTGATATATTTAATTGTATACTTGTATATACTCATTTAATCAGATTCGGAATATGAGTGATGGGGGAGCTTATTGTGTTCGCGAGTCCTCCGTTTAGGCTGGATTTACTGATTTAAATATTTAAGTTTATTTTCAGCTCTTCGATGATGGAAATTTTTTAGAATAATATTATAATGGTTAACTTTTTCAGCCGTCGTTCAGGAAAATACAAAAACATTGTAATGCATGATAACAAGTGCATGAAAACTGTTAACTGTCCAAATAACCTCGATTTTTCTGACTATTGATTCATTATTAAAGTGAAATTATAAACAGCTTTCGGGGACGCCGTTTTATTTGCATAGCTTTGCTGCGTAAGAGTGATGCAAATTTTGAAATTTTCGCTCCACAATACTTAAACGATTCCAAATCGGATCCTGACTAACCTCTCAAAATTTGAACTCATTTGGCGAGAAACTGAGATGGCACAAACCATTTGAAGTTTGTATGGGAATTACTATGGTAAAACCAATATTTTTGTTCATGTCTATCCAATAATTCACCATATTAGTCTGCTTCAAAAGCATTCAACTGTACTAGTAAGAAATTTTCCCAGCTAGAACTTTGCTCAAGACCACTTTTTTATTGAATGCAAGGATCGAAAGTTATCAATGGTTCAATGCGCTCATGTCTTATGATCATGCTCAATCAACTGCTCAGCAGGCAACATTGGTGTTTCTGGGGCGTTGAATAGGACACAAAAATCATGGCTACTATGTCACACTGCAAAATACAGTGTTGCCTACAGAGCAGCTGCTTGATCATGTCATAAGTTTACCAATCTCTTAAATAATTAATTACTTTTTCCTGTCTCGTTTTACATAGAAACGATCTTGAGCAAAGTTGTAGCTGTGAAAATTATCTATAAGAATGGCTATCGAACTGTTTTGCAGCTCGATATGGAAAAAGACTAGAAGGCAATGAACAAAAAGTTGTGATTTCCCATACTAATTTACATGTAAATTTCAAATGGCTTGTGCGAAGTCTGTTTCTAACCAAATGAGTTGCAACTTTGGGAGGCTAATCAGGACCCGATTTGAAACCATTTAAGCACTGTGGAGCGAAAAAGTCAAATTTTGCATCAGTCTACTGCGTATGCAACCACTCGACAAATATTATTCTTTAAAAATTTATTTTCAGCTCTTGAATGATGAAACATCTTTCAAGTTAGATCCATTGTTTTAAATAAGATAAGTTTATTTTCAGATCGTTGAATATTTGAATACATGACAACATTAGATTAACATAATAATAATACACTTTTTTCAGTTTTCATTCATGCGGGATGTATGGATTTTAATTATTTAAACTTGCTTTCAGCTCTTCGATGATGAAACACCTCTAGGATTATATTATAATATTTCATTTATATTATTGAATTTTGCATTTATATTATAAATATTCACTTTTTCAGCTAAGAGATGAACTAGCCTACAGAAGTTAAAGTAAAGTCAATGTAAAGTTAAAGTAAAGTTAAAGTAAAATCAAAGTTAAGTTAACGTTAATTTAAAGTTAAGTTAAAGTTAAGTTACGTTAAAGTTCAGTTAAAGTTAAGTTAAAGTTAAGTTAAAGTTAAGTTAAAGTTAAGTTAAAGTTAAGTTAAAGTTAAGTTAAGGCTAAGTTAAAGTTAAGTTAAAGTTATGTTAAAATTGAGTTAAAGTTAAGTTAAAGTTAAGTTAAAGTTAAGTTAAAGTTAAGTTAAAGTTAAGTTTAAGTTAAGTTAAAGTCAAGTTGAAGTTAAGTTAAAGTTAAGTTAAAGTTAAGTTAAAGTTAAGTTAAAGTTAAGTTAAAGTTAAGTTAAAGTTAAGTTAAAGTTAAGTTGAAGTTATGTTAAAGTTAAGTCAAAGTTAAGTTAAATTTAAGTTAAAGTTAAGTTAAAGTTAAGTTAAAGTTAAGCTAAAGCTAAGTTAAAGTTAAGTTAAAGTTAAGTTAAAGTTAAGTTGAAGTTATGTTAAAGTTAAGTTAAAATAAAGTTAAAGTTCAATTAAATATCATTTTATATTCTGTTTATACTCACGAGTGCGTGTGTGTGCATGTGTATGCGTACGTTTTTGTGTTTGTGTACCTATTATAAATCACTACAATCAGCATTAGTTTACCAAAAACGATCCCTCCTGCCGCAAACCTTTCCCCACATTTTACATCCCAGTGATTTCTAGTGGAAGCGCAGAGGATTTCTCGGTTTCCTTCACAGCGAGTATCACGTCAACACATTCCTTCCCATTCCCTATTGGACCTGCATTCGGACACGGCCGGCGCTGGTATTGCTAAATATTAGATCTTCAGTTTTTACACATTGAGGATGAATGTTAGTCCCAAACATCATCTGTTGGTTCTCTGTGTAATTGCAGCTGATCTGGTAGTAACAGAGTAGCAACCGTGGGTGGTCAATAATGCTAATGCTAATGCTCATTCTCTTACTTAAGGCAAACGGCATCTCCAAAGAAATCGGGTGACTTAAGTAACATCGAAAACTATTTTGATCGGAAGGTGATTTCGTCAAAAAGCAATTTGACTGGTAAATAAATTTAAAAATGGGATGTGATCCTATATTCGGACAGTATATAGTGTAATAGCAGGAGCATCGATTGACACTTATAGCTCGACTTTGTTTACCTTTGTTACTTTCGACGTAATGAAAATTTGCACTTGCCTTAGTCTTTCTTAATTTAGGGAAGTTTAGCACCAAACGGAATGTTATTATTACTGATGGCTTCCAAATTTATTTACCTTTCCGTATGTACCGTAAGATTTGATAAAAAGAAACCAATCGTCGAGATATTGTCAAAAGTCTAACACTCTTTCTTGACGCCAAACTCGGCCTACGAATTCTTAACTCGGCCTAATGCATTGAAACGCCATTGAAACGCCAATGAATTCACTTCGGCCTATCGAATGAAGATTAAGATTGATTCGGTTGGAGCGCTTCATTTGTATTTGAGAATATTGGGTGCAATCATTCATATCACGCGTTCTTATTGACTTCGTTCGGTAGCATTTGATCTAAAGTATCGTATCGAATGTATAATTTACCTGTTTACGCCGAAATCATGGATTTATGTGATGTTTTCTGCTTGATAGACCCAAAATGGGTGCTTAGGCCGAAGTAGTTCTCTACCCTATATGTCAGAATTTGTCTCTGTGTGATTGACTACTGAATATTGTGTGTTGTTATCCAGTGTTGAATACTCGGCGTGTGTAGCATCTAGATCAATACACTGCTAATTCTAGATAGAGCTGGAATTAGGGCGTAACAGCTTTTGTAAACAATGACTTCTCTCGATGATCTTCTTATGCAAACTATCGTGGTGGTGCCCATTTATAACCTCGTCGACTGATAAATGTTCAAAAGAGTAAGAACCGTCCCTCCCAGCATTAGATTGATACATTTGTTCACATTTACTTATTGATTGAAGGCTGTGAAAATTTTACTAAAATTCTGGGCAAATTTGCGACGATTGGTAATATGTATAAAAAGTTTCAAGGTTCACGTATTTTTAAGAGACAGCCCTAACCATGGAATGTAATCAAGTTCACTAATAAACTGAAAAATCACCACTGAATTCATAAAACATATTTATTGCATGTCAATCTTTATAACTTATGATCATTGCCTTTCTTTCCAGGAGTCACAAATCGTAATCATAGTCTATTTACAATTATTCATATTCCATTACATACATCTTTCATTTGAGAGTTCTTATTTGGATTTCAATCTTTGTAGCTAAACGATAACATTTTCAATCGATTTCCACATTTTCGTTTTCTTCACCCTCGCCAGCCGAAAGCATCTCGCAATCACGACTGCTGCATCTTTCTCGCCGGTGATCTTCCGATTTCCGGTCTCGTTGGAAAAATGCTTCGTCATCATTTTTCGCTGATTCCCTCTGCGCCATCGAAAGAGCCGAAGGTGACGAATGTCGCTCATGTCCCTCGGGTCCCGAATCTGACGGTGGAGAACGAGTGGAGAAATTGAGTGGCTGTTTCGATGCAACAGCAGCAGCCGCAGCCATGGCGGGGATCGTACCCGGTAACTTGGACGGATAAAAGTAGGAGAAGGGCATCGGTGGCACTGGCATTCCGTAGGCCATTTGTATCTGTTATGGGATTTACGGTTGAATTTTGGGGGAATGTTTGCAGTTGTAACACTTATCCTTACCTGATGTCGATAAACGTTCAAAAGTGCAGGATCCAACCCGGAGGCGTAGTGTGGTTGCCCAGCCAGAACAGCCGCCGGTCCGTAGGAGCCATCTTCCCGGACGAGCACCTGCACCGGAACGCGCTTTGTTGCACTCAGTATGGCGGCTTCGTGCTGTTGGATTTGTTTTCGTTTGGTTTTGTAGCGACGGTTTTGGAACCAGATTTTCACTTGTGTTTCTGTGAGCCTGAGACTTTTCGCTAGCTCCGACCGCTCTGGTCCCGATAGATAGCGTTGCTGGGCGAAGCGACGTTCCAGCTCGAATACTTGAGCATGGCTGAATGCCGCCCGGGAGCGCTTTTTCCTCGTAGCCGTTGGGACGTCGTCGCTTGGGAGGGAACCGTTGTGGAGTGATAGGCTACCGTATGGAGAGGGCGTGTCACAATCTGAGGAGAAGAGAAAAGTATAGGTGTAATTAGGAGTTTGTTTAGGATTTGGTTTTGGAAGGATAGTACAACAATTTTCAGTTCAGAGTGCAACATTTATGCAAATGGGTTATACTTAATCTATGGTTCTATTCTCGATAACTGTTTGAGTCGATCTGGATTTCAACTTTAAATTTGAAGGCAATTATATACATTTCATAATCGAAGGCGTGGTGGAACCTCAGGTAGCCTAGTCAGCTAAAGCAATACATTGCTAAGCCAGGGGTGGCGAGTTCGATTCCCGGTCTAGTATAGATTATTATTCGTTTTGAATATTTTCTTGACTTCTCTGAGCATACACATAAGGGTGCATCATAATACCGATTTTGCTCCACCAAGGTCATTCGATTCTTAATCAGGTCCTGATAATTCTCCCAAATTTTGAGTTTATTTTTCAATTCGAACTCATACTGGCGCTTTGATGTTTATATGGAAATCGCTATGGAAAAGTGAAATTTATGTCCGTCCTAACCCTAGCCTAGTTTTGCAATGTTGCCTGATGAGCAGTTGATGGATCATGTCAGAAGAACATCATCTTCAATTTCAATTCAATTCAGTTGTAGCAGCAAGTTGATTTGAAAATGTCACATTATTACAGTTAGCAAACATTTCCGTAGATCATTACAGCGAGAAACTAGAACGATGAGATCAAAAAGTTCACTTTTCCTATAGTATCTTATCTTTCTTTATTAAAGAGACTTTCAGCCATCGGCTGGTTCATCTCTGGCAACCCCAGAAGGGGGTGCCCCAAATAACAGAGTTGGGTGTTTGGGGCCCCAGAAGGGGGTCTCCGGCTAGAAAGTGGGCCTCGGAAGGAGGTTTCCCTAATACAGAGTTTTTTTTTTCAGAGTTCGGAGTTCAGGTTCAAACAATAGTACACATATAATAGCTGAGTAGTGTCACAGTTTCTGGCGTGGTTTAGGTAGAAATAATTTGTCGTAGTCGGTAGTCAGTGTCGATAGCGGGTTGTTGGTGGTCGTGTCAGTCCTTGGGCTTAAATACTTTCATAAAGATTGGCGTCTTTAATAAAGCAGATGACTGCTGCTTCGGTTGATTGGTCATTCGATAGGGCGTTCCTTATGCTATTCGGTATACCGTAGGGACTTCTTATATTGCTGAACACTGGGCAATCTACCAAAATGTGTTGCACTGTCATGGTAAGGTTGCAAGTGTCACAAGTTTTCCGGAAATTGGAGGAGCAGCCCATGTTGTGAGTTGTAATCTGGTCTTGTCGACTTGGAGTGTCCTGCCATTTGGAAGTCTCTCCTTTCACCTTCCGAGTAAAATATAGCCTTGTGGAAGCCCACTCAAGAATCCAGGCGTTGCGGGTAATGAACCTGACCCATCGCTTAATGTCGGGACCAGGGACCTCTTTACTGAACAGTCTGCCAGAGCGGCCGGTAGCTGCCAGATGATCTGCTTCACAATTACCTCTAATGTCGCAGTGACCCGGTACCCAGAGGAAAATTGTATTGGGTGGTGATAGTTCTTGGATCCCCTGGATCCATGGATGCCTGCGGGGGTAGAGGGGAGCAACCCTGCTACAGTGCGAATAGCTTTGTTGTAGGTGGGAGTCAGTCTGGCGATGAAGAGTTCGGCGGCTGGGCAAAAGAGCTCTATCCCATAGAAGATCCTGCTGTTTACTACGGCATTTGCGACCCTCAGGGTGAGTTCTCTATTGCTGCATCGATGCGGGCCGGAGAGGTTACGGATTAAGTTCAGTCTGGTACGGCAATTGTTCCGGATCTCATTGAAGTGAGGGCCGAAGCTGAGTTTTCGATCCAGAAGTGCTCCGAGAATCCGAACATTTTTCCGGAAAGGGATGGGAGTACCATCACATTTGATCGGATAGATGTGAAAAGCGGCATATATGTGAAGTAATACTTTTCTCAGCTGACAACACAAACCCGGATTGAGACGCCCATCTATGAACGGAGGAGACTGCGGCCTGTAGCTTTCTGCGGAGAGCCTTTAGAGTAAGACCTACTGCCAAGAGTACAATGTCATCGGCATAGACAAATATAAAGATCTCTTTTGGGAGTCCAACAAATACCCCGTTCATCGCGACCAAGAAGATGGTGACCGCAATTACAGAGCCCTGCGGGACACCAGTTTCTTCCAAGCGAGTCGATGAACGATGGTTTCCTAATATTACCTGAAAGGTCCGGCCGCGGAGAAAGTTTCTGATAAAAAATAGGATGCTACAACCTAATCCCCAGTCCGCGAGCTGCTGGATGACCCGTGGGGACCACGCACGGTTGTAAGCCTTAGTAAGGTCCAGAGATGCGACTTCTACGTGGGAACAATTGTTCATTGCATCCTGAAGGACATCGCCGAGTCCGGTGAAATAAGTCCCGGTCCCATTACCTGGTCTGAATGCATGCTGCCGATGATCCAAATATTGATTGTCCTCTAGGAATCTCATTAGACGACGGTTCAGCATCCGCTCAAGAATCTTGCATAGACAGCAAGTCAGTGAGATGGGGCGGAAGTCCTTTGGAGTTGGACTGGTAGCAGCAATTCTTGGAATGGGTACTACCAAACTATGTGTCCAGTCCGAGGGCATCTTGTTATCCAGCCAGATATTGTTAAGGATCCTCAACGTACTGTTTTTTCCTTCGGGGGGTAGGTTCTTAATCATAGGGTAACCGATCTCGTCAGTACCTGCAGATTTGCCGGTGCATCGACTGAGAGCTAGGTCGAGTTCTGCAGCTTGGAATGGGACGTTAATCGATGGCATGGACGAGGCACCTGGAATGGTGATGTTGTCAAGGCTCTGTCAGGATACTTAGTTTCTAAGATCGAAGCTTTCGTCCTTAGCTGGCAAGGGCAGATAGTGCCTCGAAGTGATCGCCAAGCGCCTCTGCGATTGTTTGTGGGTCCCGTGTAATTTTCCTATAGTAATTCCCATATAAACTTTAAAAAGGTCACTGCAGTATGAGTTTGCATTCAAATGAGCTTGAATTTCGGGATAATTATCAGAACCTGAGTTGAAATCGGTTGATCTTGTTGCTGCACCAAGATCAACCGATTTCAACTCAGGTTCTGATAAATCTATTTTTGAACCACCCTAATATACTTAGAAATAAATAATTTACACGTAACGGAATCCATTTGTGATATAAAGGATTAGACGTAAACAAATATGTAATGTAAAATTAAGTGCTCTGAGACTGTAAAGTTCGCTACTCGACGATAATTCTGTTGAATTCGTCAATAAATGGCTGAGCTATGATAATTCAAACATTGCAAGTTTGTCGTTACACATTTTACTGGAGGCATCGTGTTCGGAGTGTTAATAAATAAAGCAGTTAATGATATTACTGGTTTTCATAGAATTTCGTCCATGGAGAAAATTTAACCATATTTGTGTAAATACTCCTTATTAAAACCCTGGTTGAAAGTAACTTTGAACGCAGACCTACCGATAAATCTGTATTTACACCGATGAATAGTTGAGGACAAAAAAAAATACCGATTTACTGGTGGCCACTTTCTCACTATCGTGCTTTCAAAATGTTTATTAAGGTGCTTCATTTTGAAAAAAAAACATTGAATTTCTGATAGGCCACCCTCCAGTTCATAACCCCAAATAATGAGCCAGTGCAAAAAATGGTAAACAGTGTTCTCTAGGCCTGGGCTCTACATTTTTGAAGCTATAAAATGAACTCGAGTTTTGTTTATCTCGTACGACGTGTTCAACGCTTTATTTCCTGCACAAAAAAATAATTTTGATATCACATCAAAGTGGATGCACTTCAATCGTGTCAAAAATATGGTGGAATATTACTTGCCAAAAAGGACGAAATTATCATCAATACAATGCTTGAACAGACATTACGCTTCTTTTACTGCCTTTGTTTATTTTTTTTTGGCCATAAAAATTACATGAGATTTTTGACATGGTTGAAGTAAAGTTTTCATTTTCCTCTGTTGATTTGTTTCATGAAAGACGAAACTATCAAAGTCGTACGCTCTTTCGCTCGTCCGTTTTACCGAAGCTTGAAAGAAAGCCCAATGGAGCGATGGGAGAAAGCGAGACATACGATTGAACATTTATTTGTGCACGCACAATATTAATTGGTGAAAGTATATATTTAGGATGCATTTCATACAAATTTATAAGGTTTTCACTTTCTGTAACTCCTGTTTTACGTTACTAATAACAGCAATTCAAACTTCAATGGTTGCTCACGAAATAATCAATAAAAAATTCACGAGTCATAATTCGTGATCCATTTCCTCACATGTCGGGAACGAAAAGTTGTGCAAGGAAGCTAGAGCAAAACATATCTTTTAATATACGCTCTCTCTTGCAGGTGAATCAAAGTGGGAAATATGTTAGTTCCTCTCAAGTTCGCTCGGGAAATAACGCTTTGCGAAATTCCCATCAATATTTTCTCTAGTGAACACATCTCGCTTGCGATAATGAACTTTTGGCGATATTTCCAACACCATTAATGTGTTTCGCTGTGAGATCCTTATTCTCGTAACCACTTCGAAACTTAAAGTGCCCAAATATTAGCTTCCATGACACGTACCACAATTAATCTGTTACTCCACGTTTGCTGTACTGCAGCATACATGAAGTAGCAATTTCAGGTGAAATGGGGCATTAATTTCCGAGATTTGTGTAATTGAAAATTCGAAGTGCAAGTGCTTGTATAGCCTACGTGGCGGTCATTTGTGGACTCTACATGGAATCACCTTAATGATATTACATATATGAAACAATGAAATTCACAGATAAAAATTCTTAATTTTAATTGTGATGTAAACATTCATTCACGTTAACTTAAATTTAATTTCACACAACCGAGCAATTTGTAAACAATATTGTTTACAAAGATGGGGTTTGTATACAATATTTGCTACATTGCATGAATTGTGCTAGAACTTTACATGATATATAATGTAAACTTATATGAAATATGACGCTCCATTTGTGTGCATCATATTGA